ATCGCCCAATTCGGGCTAATATGTAAAGAACATGTATATAAAGAACTTGATTTCGACCTAATGTAAAAGTAACTTTGTTATAAGTTAATTAGTTTCGACTAAATAAAACTAAATAAATAATAGAAATATTTTATTTAAAACTTTTATCTTCTTTAAACAAAATTATTCGCTAATACCAAAATCAATTCGTTGATCCCTTATTCATTCTGATCCATGCAAAAATAAAAATAATTGTTATCACCAATTAAAACACGCTCTCCTAAATTTAATCGGTGACAATATTGTGATTATTAACTTTAATCTACATATAAATAAATATAAATAAGTTCTTTTAATACTTGAAGACAATAATAATAAAAATTTTATATACTTGTCATTTTTTATTGCATTATTTTCAGACAAAATACTGAGTATATGTAATCATCATCTTCAATGAAAATGAATCTATCTGGACTTGGTTCATATTTATATTTATTATTTGTTTCATTATAGAATAAAAAATGGTTGCCTTCTCCCAACTTCCATGGAGGGGTTCTAAAGAAATAAAAAATAATTATAAATGTGTTTTATTTGTTGAATTTCAAAATAAAACAATTAATTCTTAAAGTTTTATATTGTTGTTTGTATTAGTATGGTTTTTTTAAGCAGCTGATCATTGTCTCTATTAGCAGATCCTAAATGCAATAAAAAACTATTTATTAATTGAAAAATAATAATAAAATTACGTGCATTGTTTGAACTTTTATAATTCTTTTTTTGTTTAATCTCTCACAAACTTGTAGATATAATGGAATAGTGTTTTTCCACGTAAGATGCGATCTTGACATCACTCCAAATAGATACGAGGAGTTGCAGGAAAATCCTAATGCAGGATATAAATGTCCACTTTGTGAAGGAAGAATTAAAGGATTGAAAGAAGGTGACCAGAAAGAACGTGATGCGTTGGCCGGTAATCCAGTGGCGAAACCTGTTGCGCAGGTTGCCGGACAAAAGTTGATTAGGGGTATCGTGGAATTTAAGGGTAAAAGAGTTGTGGTCCCAGAAATTCGAGGATGGGGAAAATTGGCAATGTAGATTTCTACCATTTATCCATAATTATTTTCCCATTTACTTACTAATATATATACTTAATATATAATAATATATAGAATGTAATAATAAATAATATATAAAAGAGATAATAAATTGTTTTTTCATCTACCAGTATACATCTTTATTTATTATTCCCTTGATTTCCCAAGGTTATTTTTAACTTTTCACTTTCATTATCATGAATAAAAACAACGAAGGAATTTAATATTTGATTTTATCAACAAAAATTTTTTTGTTGTGTTTGACATAAGTGGTATAATGTGATTTAATGGATGGCTGGTTATTTTGTTAAATCTCCATGACCAAGAGAGACTCCATTGGATACTTTTGATACTTAGAATGTCCAACATAAATTTGATTGATGTTGATGGTTGATGTGTAAGTTTTTGAGAATGGTAGTATCTCGATGCTTTACAGTGTAGCCACACTTGATGGGTTGATGTACACTCATCAGCACCATGTACTTTGATCTTGCCATTGATAATTCTACGTTGGTGGAGAATGATATTCATTCTAACTGTACAATATCTTCTATGCTGCGCCTTCATCTTCCACCACATTTTCGAGCATGGTTTTTTATACGAAAATTAACTCCAGTAGCAGCTGTTCCAATTAGCATAACTGGCAGGATGATTTTGGACATTCAAAGGATGAGAATGTGAAGATTGAGGAAGACAAAAGTTATGATGGCTATTATTACACTTGGCACAAAATCCATCATGTTTTGAAACAGTTGATGATGGCTGTGATGGTGACTTCTTTTCTGGCATGTGCTTTTATAGATAAGTTAAAATTTACCTTTCGAATAAATGAACGGTAATTGCTTAGATTAAAATAAATCCCAATTTAATTTTTTCTTTTAATAATATATCTTAATAGTTTAATGGGCTGCAAAATTTCAACAGGTAATAATGATTTTAAAGTATAATTTCATATTATTCATACTTATTTGAATTAATTATTTTATTGTGTTATTATTATTAGCTTCCAATGTATTTTTTAAAGTTTTTTGGTAGTACAGAAATTGATACTGTCATCGAAGCAATGAATCATGCAACATTCGCTTACGATGTTCGACATATAATCATAGATAATTTACAATTTATGACATCAGATTTGTGTCGAT